ACGGTTGAAATCGTTTGCCACGTATGTTTAAGATTCAAAATAGAATTTCTCATTGATTATTTCGAAGACAAGGAGAGAGAAAGAGAGAGATAAAGCCATAGAATTGAACATCTGGTAGTTCGACAAAAGCAAATATATGCTCTATATATTTAAGTTAATACGCTCTTTGTATCATGCAAATTGAGGCTTCGTTCCTGTCATATCCACTAGTAAATTTACGATTTTTTAAACTCATGCTCACCTAATACACAACCTAAGAGGCGCTCAAGATAGAGAGTCACTATGTCATTTTGTATGAGCGTAAAAAAAGGCAAGAAGTGAAGATCATAGAGTTATGCAGGAAAGGTCAATATTAAGTGATCGAGAAAAGATCTAATATTTAATATTCGAAATTATTGTAAATAGTTTCTTCTCGTAATCACTGAAATTCTTCACCTCGTATTAAATATTCTTAGTGTTTTACAACACAAAACTAAAATAAAACAGGGAAGAATAGATTTCCATTTAGTCAGTTTTTCTGGGACAAAAGAGCTTGTCTTGAAAATCATCATTCCAGACACTTTAGTAATTTTTCAGTCATCATCGGAACTCAGTCGAAAATCCCGGTAAGTGATTGAAAAATTACGAAAATCTGATTTGAACATCGATAACTATTGAAAGTTAGTACTTCTTATTTAATCACGGACACACAAACGCGCACAGGCACTTTTAAAATCTCCTCTTTTAAGGCCCTAATACAGTGATCTATACACCCATAGATTAATTTAGGAAATCAAGATATTTTTAATAGCATGAATTTAATTCACACAATCCAAGGCTCAAGAGCAATTCAATCTAGAGTCTTGCTAGGGTGAGTGATATAAATGAAAGGGTGTCTGTATGCAAGGGAGAATATGAAGGTAAGGATGATAGATATCGATTAACTTTTAATTTCAAAAGATTAAGATTATGGTATCCGGAGAAGAAAACACGCAAATTAGCAGTCCTTGAAAAAGAAAAGCTAAGAGGAACTTTCCCCCTTACATTTGAAATAAGGGGAAATTGATGGTGATTCGACTCCATGGAAGTAGTGTATAAATTCCCATCTGTAACTTTCCGAAATAGTGGAAATAAAGAGTGGATCTCCTCTGAATGTTTTCATGTGAAATAGCGGACAAAAATGGACCTTTGTGTCCAAAAAAGAAATATCTGTCAAAAGGAATGTTTTCCCTTCGACACCTCTATTTTTGTAACTACTTTCACTCTTGGGGGTTACTTATTGTAATCAAAAGTGATTGTTAGAATTGTAATAAAAGCTAAACATATGTTGAAAGGGAATTTATACATGTTTTGTTTTTATTCATGAGAATTTACAACAAAAATATTAAACATTGTTTATCTATAAGGTATTTTTTATTTACAAGAATAATTTTATATTTACATTTTAAAAACTAATACAATTAAAACTAATACAATATACTATTTGCCAATTTATAAAGAAATATAGATGAAAACAATCTTTTATTCATAAATTTATAAACATTTACTATATTATTAAAATATGTGAACTATAAGGAAATCCTTATTCTCCATTTTATAAATTTCGAATCGATAGTTTGTTAATCGATGTCTTTCCAACTATCAATAAACAAATAACTATCATAAATAAATATTGAAAATAAACAAACTAATAAATAAATAATGTTTATTATTTTTGCTGTCAATTCTATGGAACCAGAAAAATGTATAAATTCACTTTGACGTGTTTAAGTTTTATTACAATACTAATCATAGCTTTTTTAAAACAATAAACATTGCCGAGAAGAGAAGGTTGTAAAAATAATAGCGGTGTCAAGGGAAAAACAAAGTTCTAAGTTTGTCAAACAGCGAGATCCTTGAAACGTTAACTACGAGTAAGAAGCAGAAGAGTGGAGAATAATTCTTCCTCTACAAGACCAAACAAACAGTTTGGAAAAATCTCCAAATTGTAAAGTGTGGATTGAGTAGCTCCAACCAGAATATGAGAGTAATAGCCCAGTTAACTCTTGTATATATAAAGAAGTGCAGGAGTCAGTTACTTTTTGAAGCAATAGCAATAGAGCCGACCATTTTTCCATCATCTTTATCAATGCCTTGTATATATGAATTCCGAATTCATGTGTCGATTACAACAATAACACTTTGTTTGAAAACAGTTGGAATAAAGAAACAAGAGAAGAGAAAGCCGACCCAAATGAATCAGCAAATAATTGTTATAAAACCTTGTCCCAGAAGAGCTATTTAGCCCTATATTACCAAATATTCAATGTAGAATACTAATAATAAATAGTTAATCTGCCTCCCCTCTTAATCCTAATTCCACCCCCACAATTTAAATTTCCATATTTTCATTTTTCTATAATTGTAATACAGCGCCATGTCGAACAATCACGTGGTCAAGATAAACACTCAGTTGTGGAGCAAGCTGAGTGAAGCATGATTCAACATTGAGGAAGAGAGTTATTTATGGTGCAATGGAGCATCTCATTATGCTAAAGTGGGATAGTCCATTGCTTGGGCTGTGATTGGCTGCTGGTACCTGAGTGGAAGTATTTCTATATAAATACCAGCTTAATTTCAGTTAGTTTGCAGGGTTTGTATTGTTACAACCTGCTTTATTTTTGCCTGCCAGCTGGACGCTAGCTGGAACTCTTACGCCGGTAAGTGTCGTTTATTGTATTGTTATTCTACAGGTGGAACAGAAATACCTGCCAGATATAGCAACCAGAAATTCCCCCTACATAATGGTAAGACTTTCGCTAGGTGAAGATGTCATTGACATTAATGTGTTACCATTATGAGAGCGGTATATGTGGGAGGTGTTTCTGTCACACCCTGTATATACATATAACTGAAATCCCTTCTCTATTCCTCCCCTGTCTAAAATCCCTATTTTTATATTTGAAATTGATCCCATTTTCCTCCCTGGCTAAAATACCTCTTCTTACATTAGAATTCTCCCCATCTTCCCCCTCTAGCTAAAACCCCTTACCTTAAATATGAAGAGTCTACCGCTGAGTTCCAAATAACTATCGTTTGATAATCATTACATGAAACGGAGTATTTTTGAATTGCCCGAAAATGTCAGGTAAGTCATCTAGTAAACAGTGTCACCGATTTTACAAACTTTGTTAGCATTGATTTTTGTTCACCAAAGTTTGGCCTTTATGCGTAAACTCTATATGGTTTCGTTCACACAACACAGCCAGAATCCACTTTTGAAAAGACACCACTTAAATCAAATCAAATTGTGCGCAATTGGAAGCAAAACGATGAGTAAGGATAACGTGACAACTGCATAGTTCCAGTTTGTTCTGCATGCTCGGAGACAAGCAGAAAATTCCGGTAAATAATTTTAAAAACGCATACAGGTTTCTCAACGCCCAATCTTCCTCTCTATCTCTCTAATTCTCTTTATCACTCTAATTCTCTATCACTTTCTCTCTCTCCCCCCCTTTCTCTCTCTCTCTCTCTTTGATTCACTCTCTCCCTCTCTGACCTCCAGTCATCTATAATGATTAGTCATTTATATGACATTAGTTTCTGTCCGCTTCATTTTTCCCTCCCTACCTACCTTTTGAAACTTTTGCATCATGGACGACATCGTCGATGAGTAGATCATTTACCTACTCTCTTCGGTGAGGCTGCAGTTTACAATTTCACGTCAGCGGCTAAAAGATTTTGGAGAAGAAGGGAATGAGACGGGGGGATGCAGGCTGGGGGATAATGAATGTTGCATGCTTTCGTAGTCTTCTCTGTGCTTCTTGCTTACCAGTATTTCAGAGCGTGTGACACATGTTATGGGGTCTTATCAACGTCAGCTTGACCAAAGGCCAACAGAAAATTCATGTAATAAGGTGATATTATCTAACCTAAGCATTTTTAGCGGCGAAGAAGTGGATTTAGGAAAAATGCTCCACGCTGATGAGTGAAGGTCATAGCTTTCCATTAGGTCAAGAACCTATTCTCTTAAAAAAAGTTTCTACGCGGAAACAAAAAATAAAATAAACTATACTCTATCCTCTCCACACTTGTTCAATAAAAACAGAAATGAAATCCACGGCACACAACAAGGTCAATGTTCTCAAGGTGGATTTCATTGATTGATATACTGATTCGTTTTTTTTTTTGTTTTTTTTAGCAACTCTTTGAAGAAAATATTTTTTTTATATTACAAATTTTGTAGATAATAATGTTTTACTGGTGCACATCTTACATATCCCATAGCTGGGGAAAGAAGTGGATTCATACCTTTCCCAAGGCTATTTGTGCGTAAGTGAATATAACGAACCCAACGAGAATTTGAACTCGGCTCTCTGATTAACAATTCTGAGCCATTATCCACTGCACCAACCGGACATCCAAGCTTACAGCACCTTTCTCTCCAAGCGGTCACCCATCTAGGTACTAACAAGGCACGAAATTGCTTAACCGGTGATCGTACAGGCACCGGTGTTTTAAGGCGATGTGGTTGTACGGACTTTACATTTGCAAATAAAATCAATGTCAGGGATCGATATGATACTGTATTTATATTATGAACAGGACCCCCCTCAGAAAATTATCATTAATTTTCGATTCTGACAAATGGCAGGATCTATGCTTTTCTATAAAGATCCTTGAAGGTTTTGTTTTGTTTTGTTTTTACGGGCGGACCAGTACATTTAATTAGTGCTAAATTATTCTGTCTTTATTTTTCTTGGACGTGCGGCCATATTATGCCGAAACAGCGGTTCCCGTCTGATTACTGTAGTTAACACCGAGATGGTTAACCGCTTGGGAAAACCAGGTGTTGTAAACTTTGATGTGCGGGTGGTGTAATAACGGTACGGAATGAGAAATCGAAAAACCAAATTCTAGCTGGGTCCGTTATAGACCCTGGTGTCAAAAAGATAGATATAAAATTGAAATTATAATTGATTCTGCAAGTATGCACTGAGTAGATGACGTCATTTGATGTGGTCTTAACTCACTGCCGAGGCTTACGGCCATAGGATGTTCAAACACCGATTCCCGTACAATCACCGAAGTTAAGTAACCTCAAGATTAGTCAGTACTTTTATGGTTGAGCGCTTGGGAATACCAGATGCAGTAAGATTGGATGTGAGGGTGGTGTATTGGATAATGGCTTAGAATTGTTGATCGGTGTGCTGAGTTCCAATTCCAATCGGCTTTTTTTATTCTCTTACGCGCAAATACCATCGAAAAAATAAGAATTCACCTCTTTTTCCCCCAGCTATAAGTTAAATAGTATGACTTCTATCATAAATTCATTATTACCGAAAAAAATTATTGTAATAAAAAAAAATCTGGTTTTAAATAACCCGTAAACGGTTGATAAGCCGTAAAAAAACAAAATCAAACGTTTTCTCTTCCTGAATTTTAAATCATTTTTATTAACTGGTCTTTTAGTTCATATTATATCAGGAAGAAAACCAGTCGTGATATGGGCTTCTGGTATTCTGACATCAGGACCTTCATGACTTACCCACAATTTTAATATTCGACATTATTGTTAATAGTTTCTTCTAGTAAACTTTGAAATCCTATACTTCGTATTAAATATACTTAGCGTTTAATGACAGAAACCAAAGCAAAACAAAAAAAAAAGAGAATTTCATTAAGCCGCTTTTTTTTCTATGATGGAAGAGCTTGTCGAGAAATTCATCATTCCAAACACTTTCGTAATTTTTCAAACATCCATTGGAACTCTTGTCGTAAATCTCGAGTGATTGAAAAATTCCCAAAATGTAAGTTGACCATCGATAACTAATGGAAGTTATTACTTCTTATTTAATCGCTTATAAAATGTCCTCTTTTAAAGCACTGATAAAATGGTGCATTATATGTTTAGCTTGGTTCGGTGGTAAATCTCTGACACCGATGGAAAATATATTTCTTTTATAATGATGTTCACCAAATACAAGGCCAAAGAGCAACTCAAAGTAGTGGATTTTCAGGGGGTTATGCAAAAAGGATAACTGTTAATTCTAGAAGAATTGACGAGGTCAGGAGTCGCTGTCCAAATCGAACTTACTAATGGAATAAGTCGGGAATGTGGATAGTTCCCCCCTGTGGACGTGGCATAGGGGGTCCCAGGTGTAAAGGTCAGGCGTTGTGGGACTAATGAATGTAGCTGGAACAGAACACATAGAACTACCGACAAAGCAGCGAAAGGGTCACAACGTTTCGTCTGTGAGGAAGGCCTTGCAGGGTGGGGGGAATAATTAATCCCCCACATTGCCACGAAGACAAACTTGAACTCTATCAATACAGGCAAAGTGAGGACTGAGCATCTCCATCCCATATATTCTTTTTAATCATTTCACCCTAAGCGAGGTAAGAATTTCACAAGGACGCAAGGATTTACAATGGGAAGACTTTACCGAAGAGAAATAAGAGAAGGACAATAAGACAAAACAGGTTCCAGATGTCACGTCAGAATCGATTACATTACAGACACTTTTTTGAATTGTGTCTAGAATTTCGATATATGCATGTATATGGCAGCAATAATCAATGGTAGATTTATAAAAGTAAAAAATGGATTCTGACGAGAAAAATTCTTTGGTCCCACACAGTGAACCATAGACATAGGAATTGATTCAGTATTGTCGCCCCACTTCATGTCATGTAGAAAACGTGAGTCTAAGAAAGCGTAGAGTGTTGCTTTCCTGGGGTTTAACATCACCATCCTCATGGCAAGCTGTCGGCAATAATTGAGTTTTGGTCTTATCTGTTTCTTTTAGAGATAGAATATAGCATTAGATTTTGCACAAAGCGCTATTTGAAATGTATGATTATCATAGAAGATATATATATATATTGAATTTTAAAAGCCAGACCTTCCTCTATTGGGTCAAGTGGGCGAGGCCTGAGGAGAGATGAGCTGCGAGGTTCTAATCTTCCAGAATTTTGGAAGTGCATCGGTAAACTGTTGTATGATCCGCATAGATACTGACTAATGATCAAAGTAAGTTCTTAGCTCATTAATATGCAGTAGAAAGAGGGTGGGACTCCGGCGTTGATCTTAGAGGCTTGCCGTCAGTGGGCGTTAACAACGACCTTCAGAGAAAGACTTGATTGCAAGATAAAATACAGTAAATCTCCTCCTTTATTTTCATTTCAAACTAGCTTCAAGTTTATTATTATTATTATTATTATTATTATTATTATTATTATATTTCGATTTCTGCTATGGTTTCAGTCCCTACCAATTCTGCAGGAAGACCTAAGGCAGGTTGTGGCCTGTTGTTAATGCTATATTTCATGATTTGTTTTTCTAACTGTCATGACATCACTAGCGGTGCATGAACAATGTTCTTAGTGTGCGGGCTTTACGTATCAAAACATTATTTTTTTATATATTTCTATTAAGCTGGGGGTTTCTAGGTATATTTCAATGTGTTGTTGCGTTCCTTTTTTATAATTTCAAGCGCACCTTCTATGACTGGTACTACTCTTGTTTTAAATTTCCAAAATTTATTATTATTATTATTATTATAACTCTCTTGATTTTTGTTGTATACTCATTTTCTTTTGTTTCCCAACCAGTGACCTAAGGTCAGAAATGGGGCATCATGACATTTGCCCTGAACAATTTTGCAAAAAAAGAATAAAAATAAAACATCTTAAGTGGAGACACATTCTACATTAATTAAGTCCCTCGTAAGGTGTGCTCCCTTCAGTGAGTCTATCAGAAGCTTTTCTAATCAAACCAGCTACAACTGGAATTAATGATGCCTTCATGTTCCACATCCTTTTAGATTTCCACTTCAAAATCCTTGTATTTTGATAGTTTTTGAAGGTTTCAAAACTATATGACAGTCTGCAGGAGGAACTGCCATATCAATAAGAAAGCACCTTCTGTTCACTTTGATCGCTATGCCTGGAATGTTAGCTTTGATTGTTTTGTCTGTGTTCACTGTAATTATTATTATTATTATTATTATTGTTATTATTAATTCCTTTGATTTCTGTTGTATACACATTTCCTTCCGGATCCCAACCAAAGACCTCAGTTCAGAAATGACTTCATGACATCTTCCACTGACCTTGATCATGAGCTCGTCATGTATGTGGCCCGAAGCATTTCCTGTTCCGCTTGCATTCGCGATGTCCTGTGTGTGTCGAATTTTCCAAGATTTCCTTCCTCATTATGCGTCCATAAAAACGTCAGTTGTTTCTATCTGATTCTGAGTATAAGTGTCCTTCGCGTTCATATTATTTTTTCGTTGCCTACACGAGCCGTCGTTTATTCTCAGCAACCTTCTGTAGAAGCTCATTTTTGTTGCCTTCAGTGTTCATCTGTGAGGACAATTCCCAGTATTCATTGCCTTAAAAAAGAATTGATATTATATAGCAATTCAGTAGTTTTTTTCTTTATTTCTACCAATAATTTCCTGTTTCTTATTACTTTGCTTAGCTTTTGAAATGCATCTTTTATTATTCTTACGCATTTGTTCAGAATTTAGCGATATTTATTTACTAAATTTACCTTGGTATATAAGTACAGGCCATTCAATAAGAATCGAAATCACTGCTCATTAGTCATAGTCTCTCAAACTAACAGCCTATTACTATTTGATCTGGCTCAAGAATATCAATTTGCAGACAATCACTGATAAATCATATAATTATACAACAAGGGCAGAATACTGGAAGACCTCAGCATATATATTTTCATAGAGATTCCAAAGAAATCAACAGCAAATGAATGCGAATTCTATCAAAGAATCAACTTCAGGAGCCAAATAAATAAAAGCATCGTGGTGAATTTAGCTCGATACAAAATTAGACTGGAAATAGTGAAAGAATGTTGCGTTCTTAAAGACATTGAAACTGAAATACTATTTTTGGAATGAAAAGTTGTTATTATCAGAATATCATCATAACATACAAATGCGTAACTTAGATTTCGCACAAATATGATTATCACGGGGGATATATATATATATATATATATATATATATATATATATATATATATATATATATGGGTAAAATAAATAGCTATATATATATATATATATATATATATATATATATATATATATATATATATATATATGGGTAAAATAGCCATATATATATATATATATATATATGGGTAAAATAGCCAGCTATGGGTAAAATAGAAGGACAGACAGGGTTCTATAGCCTTGATGGCAAGTGGTTCAGAAAAAGGACAAGTCTGAATTCAAAATCTGAGGGGTTGTTTGGGGACCCTGTGCACCAGGTCTCTGTATTCGTCCCTTCAAAAAGTATGGATGGTCCTGCACGAAGCTTTCACCAGTATAATCGAATCTCATGTGCCGGTGTCGGGCTGTCGGTTTCCTGAAACTGATCTGCTTGACCCTCATACATCGAATTTCGACGGAGAGTCGACTACTATATATATATATATATATATATATATATATATATATATATATATATATATATATATAAGTAATCTGTAACCATTGCTAGCAACATGCATCCTACATACTGACTGAAAACAGAAAGAAGAGCAAGTATAGGATGCGATTTCTGACATTTTTTTAATCATTTCACATCAAACAAGGTGATAATGACACTATGAGCAAGTGTGAGTGAAAGAGAATGAAAATATTTTTGAAGGAACTGGAAACTCAAATCTAAACGGAAACAAGTACTAAACCTCTTCCTTTTCAAAAGATAGGGGAGGAGTTTAAACCGGACGATGAACGAACCTGCTTACTCCTATTAAGGAAAAAATAGTAAATAAAATTTCAGAGTTTATAGGGAGATGTTAGAAGTATAGAGTTGAAGTAGGCTTTACAAAGAACTGGAACTGGAAAGAGATGAACGTCTATTCCTTTCCAAAAGGGAAGCGGACGAAAGGCGAACCTATCTACTCCTATTGAGGAAGAGAAACTCAATAAAATTTCATAGTTTAGGCGGAGTCGTTTGAAGTACAGATTTGATGTAGACATTAGAAGGAACCGGAAACACAATCCCAAACAGAAAACATAGGATACTGGATTTATTTAACCCAATGTGAGGCGATCCTGAAAGAACGAGAAAGCCTATAGAATTTATCATTGATGGATATAATTTTAAAAACTTATGCTACGCGGATTACACCTTAGATTATATGAAAAGATCTAGATGCCTTCGGGAAAGTAAGCAAAATATTATGAGATAGGAAAATGTAGTTAGAAACAAAGAAAATATTACTGAACTGCTATAATATCTAATCTCTTATGTAGAAGTGAATTGTAGACAGTTTCCTCACAGTTGAATAAGTGTCTTCAAATAATTGAGATGTTCAACAGAAGGATGATTCGAATACCATGGACAGAATATATAATACATGAGGAAGTTTTACGGAAAATTGGAACGACGATGAAAATTATTCTTAAAATCATGAACACCAAGAAACTTCTGGATTTTTTTAAGTTGATTTGTATATGTTCCATCCAGATGTCTTTCTTTCTAGATGAACAGATAAAGTCAGAGTTTCTGATCGATATTATGGAACATAATGAGGAAAGGGGACCTAGAGAATTTAACACTCACGGGACTTACTGAAGGCAAGAGAAGTAAAGAGAACCTGTTTAAGTTAACCTAATTAATGAGTTTGAGCAGGTGACAAAATAATGACAAAGAGTAATGATGAAGAGTCGAAAGTGTAAGAAAAAAAAACAGGAAGTTGTGGAGAGACATTATCGTGCACATCTTTAAGCGAACTGATATGTAAAAGAAGAAACTTCAAAGACCGCAAAGATATTACATTAACGCGAGCGATGGTTGCGGGGACTGGGCAATTTTTGTCCTTGGCCCAGGTTTACGCGCTCGTGTTCCCTACAGTAAACACGCCCTTGTGTCACATCCCGTCTAAGTGGAGGGGGAGATCTAAGTAAATCCTTGATAAGGAAACAATATATATATTTCCGTATGATCGGTAGGTTTGAAATAATTTATATTTACTAAAAGAAGAATCATTCTTTATTTAAAATTGGTTTACTTTGTCTGTTTAACGGTGTATCAAAGATTCATGGGTCATTTAATGTCGAAATTTAATTTTCTTGAGAGCTTAGATTTCATTTGCTTGTTTAACGGCATATCAACTCCTTATGGGTCATTTAATGTCGAAATTTAATTTTCTTGAGAGCTTTGATTACATTTGCTTGTTTAACGGCATATCAACTCCTTATGGGTCATTTAATGACGAAATTTAATTTTCTGGGGAGCTTGGGCATTTTCTTTTTAGATATTAAAATCAACTGCTGCTATTTTTACTATAAAAATGTATATTTATACTTCTATAGTATTTTGATCCCTGTTTGAGGGTTCACTATTCGCTCATGTGATACCACAGGTGATACCACACCAGCCGAGAGTGAACCTGGGAACAGCAGCAGTGGTTCCACGCTCCTCAAAACTCTTCGATCATAGGCGTTGCTGCCGGGTGCAATTTTTCGTTATACCTAGGGCGCTCTATTTCAAATTAAAAATATTTTATTAAAATAAGCCCTGGAATTTTTTTCCAGACACTTCATAATAAGCTTAGCCGAGAACCCTTCTTATTTTAGTGGGTCCTATAACCCACCCAAACAAGCTGGATTGTTTCGATATCTAGGCCCCGCTGCTCAGACATTAAGTTTTCGACCCAAGGTGAAGTTTTATTGTTGAATAAACGTCATGCCTGTAATTTCTTCATTCTAAAGGAAGACCCAAGGTTCTCCATTTCTTACACTAACGCAGAACTGTTACAATATGGAACGGAATCCGAAGGGGATGCTTTCTTCATCATTAAAATCTTAACAACTTCTAGTAGAAAGTCAAACGTTATCTATCCTGTAATGCAAAACTTGCCTCCACTCTATACGCATTTACAACATCTCCATTCAGTAACCCTCTACTTTGTGTGGCTCTTGCGTCTTGTATTGGGTGAACAATGGTAATAAAAAAGAGTAAGAAAAATGTTACTCGTGTGGACGTATGAATGGATCTGGCTACACCGTTGGGCTGTCTGCATGGTTTTCACCTACAGCCAAATGCGACTTTTCATCTTTATTTTTTTTTTTTACTTTCTATTCTAATTTATCTAAAATAGCTGATTTTTCCACCTTTTTCAATGGTGAGGTCATTGGCGGATATTTCACATTAGATATTGGAATTATTTTTTTTTTCCCAATATTTCATAATCTATAAACTGTAGTGATTTGATTACTTAGTGACGCCTTCAGATTATTAAAGTACAAATCACAACGCGATATAAATAATAAAACGTATATACTGAATGAAAAGAGTCCATTAACCTTTTATGCCCGTTCATGGTTTTAGCAAATAAAAATGTTGTCAATAAACACGACTTTGATATTGTGTTCAAACAACTTCGGCGACCGAGTCAATTTATTTGTTCGCTTCGAGTCTTTTCCGTCTGACAATTTTTAAACTCGGTCAGCATATGTAATTTTGACGGCTACCGTTGGGTGGGGCGTGAAAAACGTTGCTACATAAAAGTCAGTTTATCGCCAAATCTATGCCATAATAATTGTTACGAGCAAATGTAAGAGCGTAAACTTCACTGGGAACAAACAGCCTGCACGTGGATAGAGAACGCCTTCAATGAATGGTAATGAAGTAAATATTTATTGAATGAACAATTAATGTAACAGGCGGTTGAAATTTATAAAATATTTTTTTCTTAGAACAATTTGTAGGGAAATTAAACTCTTCATATCCACTAACTGTTATCGCTCTTTCTACTACTGATGAAAGTTTCATTCCAAAGGTTTTATTTACGGTCGTGTGGAAAATTAAATCTTGATTATGCCATTATTTTCTCTTCAAGTTACCCATGTTAGTTGCTGCTGCTGTTGGAAGTCTACAAGGCTTACGATTATATCACATTGAAACGCCGCTGCTCAAACGATCACCGAAGTTAAGCAACGTCGAGCCTGGGCATTACCTACATGGGTGATTGCTTGGGAATACCAGCTGCTGTAAACTTCGATGTGCGGGTGGTGTTATGTATAGCGGCTCGGATTTTTTTAGATCCAATTTCAGTCGAGTTTATTATATTTTTTTTTCATCGTTATTATATCCCCTTACATGCAAAAACCCTGGAGAAAGGTTTTGAATCCACCTCTTCCCCTCTAGCTAAGGGTTAATGAGTAAGAATTGTATCACGAAATCATTATTATCCCTCCCTGCAAACAAAAATAAAAAATTAAAAATACTTTCTGGATTTAAAGAACCTGTAAAGTCGTAAAAAATGAACCAATCAATTAATCTGTAGCGGACTGTGGGGTGATGAGTATGTATTGTAGAAGAATACACGTCAGTTAAAATTTCCTGCTAGCCGGTCCAACTTCATGAGAAAGTTGGACTTTAATTAAGTCCAAAGAAAACAAACAAGATTGAAAAATATATGTAAACAAATATATGTATTAACAACAAGTACAAGTTACAAGTACATGGACAGTTATATGGAGTGCGTGTGGTGAATATTATGTGTGTATGATGTGGTGAGTGTTCGTACGTATGTGTATTGTTCTTAGCGTGTTCCCAGAATTTGGGAAACGCTGTATCTGTGAGAGCTCATATCTGCGAGGTGGTATAAGGCTGAAGGCCCTAGGAAAAAAGAGATCGAGGCGAAGGGTCAGTATTTATAGCCTGGGGAGAGAGACCCCGGGTGAAGGAGCTGAGAAGGAGCTAACTCCGACAAATCAATCAATTCAATATAATCAATCAATTAATAAATCGATCAATTCCTCTTTAAAAGTTGTATGCACAAGCATTATTTGATATCGTAAATCTTCTATGATATAACAATAAAATTAATATGATATCAATTGGTATCGTAAGTCTGATATGCCTTGCCATAATATCTTCCGATTGCTATATTCGACAACGAGGTAGCTGGCTACCATCATATACGTGTAACGTGATAAGAATGTAGCCGTGTCTATCTTAGTAAAGCAGACCTAAAAAACCATCAAAGACGCCAAACAAACACAGAAGCGATGCGCGTTAGGTGGTATTTCCACAAACAGAGAGTGTAAAATACACCACGGTTGGTGGACTATAACATCATATGAAACTTCAACAAAATGCAGTGCGCGGTAGAAATATGTCCCAAATTTTAAAGGTCGACAAAATAACTAAGGTGACTGCTAATAAAAAAAATAATTTCTCTTTCATTTTAACAAAGGGCTATAGTAATTATTCGTTTGGTTTTTAAAATGACTTCCATCAAATGCTGACCTCTATTCGACATACACTGTTGTAGACAACTTCTAAAGTTTTCCATCACCCGGAAGTACTTCCCGGTGCCTTTCAGTTAAACACTGGACCTGTGGCCCTGAAATTTCAACCCATAGCATATCGATTTTCTCTCCAGAACACCATTCCGACATAACATGAAATGAGTACTGTTACGTGGGCATTGTCTTCTTGACTGGGGTCCAAAAAGGAATGTTCATAAGTGCCGCTTAGACGGTACTTACACTGGTCTTTCTTCACCGGTTTTCTTACCGGTGATCTCTTCTACTCGTCCCGTCTTTTCGGTGGGCCTCTCTTCCCTACAAGTACGAAAAGCTCTCTGTGTTGCCATTGGTTGGTTGGTTGATTTTGTTTAGAGGCATATCAACTTCTTCGAAATGTAAATAATTTAAAAAATGTTATAGCTTCAACTAAATATATTTTGAACTCAATTATACAACTTTAATTACAGATAAAATGTATTACCCGGTAATTTTGCTTTTAATAGGTATTGTTTCTAGTTTTACTATAAATAAATATTGTTGCTAATTTTTTTTGCATACAAATAAAAATTTGTTTTTATACTTATATAGTGTTTTGTCTTTGTTTGCGAGGTGGGGGGTCACTATTTACCTTTAGTTGGGGCCCTAACAAGTGCTACCACCCGGGTCTTGGTAAAGCTGAGAATAGCAGCAATTAAGAGATGATTCCACGTTCCTCAAAACCTTCAATCTCCCGATCAGAGGCCTCGCTGCCGTATGTAGTTTATTGTCATGCTCATCGACTGTGTTGCAATTAGAGATTCACCAGTATTTAAAAAAAAAATCATCAGCAAAAGGGCGGTATGCACCGGTCCAAGCCATGATTGTAAATGATCGTATCTCGTAAGATATTAGCTAGATGAAGACACCATTGACACTTGCCTAAGTTCACTGGCACCACACAGTTAACAGTTGGGATGTATTTCTGTCTCACCATGTATTAATGCAACTACAGCAAAATTTCAATCATGCCACTGAACAAATAATGCCCATATTTGAGGATAAATCGATCGCAATACTTCAAAATTTTATTTTTATATATATATATATATATATATATATATATATATATATATATATATATATATATATATATATATATATATATATATATATATATATATATTCACAGACACACTGTTTCGCTGCTCATCAGTGTGACTAGACATCCGGTCGCCTCAAGCCGGGACCGAAACCTGGCCTGCTTGGCATCAGTCGGACATCCTAACCCTTAAGCTGACGACGCCCGGCAGCGCGTGAAAGGCAACGTTTTGCGTATTTATTTTTTCATAAGGATGCCAGTGACCAACAGATCTCCATCCGGCTTGGAGAGTCTTGTATTATCAGCAGAAATAGTGACTGTTTACAAATTCGCTCTTTTCTCACCACAGTGCTCGACCGAATTATTTATTTTTCGGGAGTTAATGTCGTCACCCACAGACAGACTACATGCGTTCCTTGATTGTTTCCTCTGCCATCATTACTCTTTTTTCTTCTTCTTTTACTTTTTTATTTTCCTAGATAAGAAACCTGAAAACTAGAGCCAAGTCCTTAGGAAGCCTTTAACACGGACGTGAAGCATGGAGCCAAACCCTTTCAGAAATATCTAAACTTCCTACTGTATAGAACCGCATTTTACGATCAATAGTTCAAATGGATTTGAACGAGTGAAACCAGTGGGTCTTGACGAAGACCAGAGACTGTGGAACATCGCTCTGAAGCAGTTGCTTACATATCAATCTCTCCAAGTGTTTTTTTTTTCTTACGCGCATTTATAAGGTGTAACATTGGCCACGGTTGTTCCCATTTCGGTGTCATTACTGACAACAAGTAATTTACGGGTCTCCACCACCTGCATCGAGCTTCCTTGACAGTCTGGTGTGAAATTAATTCTGCATGATTTTTTTCAGTGATATATATATATATATATATATATATATATATATATATATATATATATATATATATTCGAATCGAATTCGAATTCGAGTTCGAATTCCAGTCGAATCCATTACATTCACTTACGTGCTAATCCCCTTGGGAAAGGTATGATCCCTCTTCCTCTCCCTCCAGCTATGGGTAAAATAGCAGGACAGACTGGGTTCTATAGCCTTGGATGGCAAGTGGTCTAGGAGAAGGACAACTCTGTATTCAAAACCTGCGGAGGGTGCACCAGGTCTCTGTATTCGTCCCTTCAAAAAGTGTGGATGGTCCTGCACGAGGCCTTCACCACTATAATCAAATCTCATGTGCCAGTGTCGGGCTGTCGGTTTCCTGGAAACTGATCTGCTTGACCCTCATACGTCAAATCTCGACAGGAAAGTCGATTATTATTATATATATATATATATATATTAGATCATTACTGCAATTAATTTAAGCTTGCTGCAAGACTAAAATAATACCTAGACTGTCAGCTGTATGTTAACACTTTCTCATTGCTTAAAAATGGTTTCGAGTGAATGAAGCCTGTAGGTCTTCGCAAGGATCATCATTTTTTTTAAGACTTAGAGATTGGATTTACACAATCTTGTGTATCAAATCACAGAAACCTCATTACGTGAGAACTTTTAGCAGCAGAAAAAAACAAAGAAAATGATTATCACATGTAACCCGAAGAGAAAATGACATAATCAAGATACTGACATTCCATCCTCATGTAAACAAAAACCTAGGAAGGAAATCAGCATCAGTACTGGAGAAGCGACATGAGAAATCAATATTCCTGAATATATATTTTAATAGAACATTTTATAAATTTAAACTATCACTCGCACTAGATGCTCGGTCAATGTATTCCGACTGTTTCCTTATAAGGAAACGCTTAATATTGTCATTCCTCTTGACTCCTTTAATTGTAAAATTTATGTACTTCTCCATTTCACTTTTGGCGTGTTTCATTTTTGTCGCTATTCTCTCTTTGATCTTTTTCTTTGTCCTTTCATCGTTATACACTTTATTCCCTTCATTTATTTCACTGTGTTCCATTTCCTTTCTTCTCTTGCCTCTTTTTCTCTCGTATTTATTCTTTCTTTTCTCCTTAGCCTTCTCTGTCTGTTTTTCTTTCATTCCTCCTCTCTTTATTCTACCTCCCTCTCTATTTTCTTCTTTGAACTACTCTCTCTTATTTTCTATTTCTTTTTTCTTCCAGTTTTCTTTTTATTTCCTTCTCCATCTCTCTCTCTCACTCACTCTCTCTTTCTTTCTCTCTCTCTCTCTCTGTTTCTATTTAATTTTGTTTTCCTGCATTTACCTACTCCTTATCTTCTACATGTTCTAATTTTAGCATTTCTATCTTTTTCTCGTCTTTTATTTTTTTTCTCCCTTCTTCCCTTACTCTATGTTTTATTTTATCTCCTTTTTCCTTCTCTTTTCTTTTTCTATTTCTCTTACCTCTTTTCTTCTAGACTTTACCGATCTCTCACCTTTCTCCCTTTTCCATTCACTCCACTGTTTCCTACTTCCGCTTTCCTTTCTTTCGTTTATTCCCCCCTCCCTCTCTCTCTCTCTCTCTCTCTCTCTCTCTGCCTCTGCTTCTTAGCTTTTTTTTATTCAAATCAAAATTTACCTGAGTTTCTCTTTCCACTCTATTCAGAAATTCCTTTTTCCTCGTTTTTGTTTTGGTCTTCGTTTCACTTCGCCATTATTATCTATTTTTTAAATACACTATTTTCCCGTGTTATATTTGTTCCAAGTTTAATC